GTACGTGTGTGTGTGTGTGTGTGTGTGTGTGTGATGTTATTGGCGCTGACAGTGTGAATGTGAGATTGTGCTGCATTCGTTCGAGGTGCGAGACCCTCGGCACTAGTGTTTGCGTGATTCATCTAATGAGCTTTGACGTGTTGTTGTTTGTTAAAAACAAATTTCCTTTCCTTTGTTTTTTTTAATGCGTGTGTGATGCAATATTCAAGGATTCAGGTTTCAAGTCCTCAGTCCGTTCTTTGTTCACACCATCTTCTGTCACTTTGTTGTTAAAAAGATTTTTTTCCGATTGCTTCCGCTTGTTTTTTTAATTCATTCACTTCACATTATCTAGTACTGGAGATGGTTATCATTGTTATGATCTTGCAATTAATCATTAATAATTCACCAATTAATATCAATAATAATATAAACATTAACCGTAATATTAATAATACAAATATTATTAATATTAGTAATATAGTATTCATAATGATGCATAAATTAAATTATTAAATGATCTCGTCTCTGTCGCCTCAAGGCTTGCATCAGTCATTATATGTTCATAAAGCGTCTCTTTAATTGATCGCCTCCAGAGCCAGGATGAAGTTTGTCATGTTCTCCAGAGAACCGTCCATCACCGTCAGTAAACTGTGAAAATATGATTATTTAAGGTTTTATGTTAAATGAGGTATAAATGAACTAGTATGATTTCTGAATTGAATGTTAGACTATAAATGAGTGATGATGGGCTGAAAGGACTCATGTTCTCTGGTTTTGGTGACTGTGTGTTCATACAGAGGCAGGTTCCCTCAGGCTCTCGTGATGGACTGAGTTTAATGCGTTCAGACAGTTTGTGTCCTGACCGGCAGCCGGCTCTGCTGTTGAACTGATTCTAGCACTGTTTCTGGGCAGAAATCACTCGTCTTTAGACATTTACAGTAGTTGCATTTACTATTTAGTGACTTGGCTTTTAGATAATTATCATGGTATAAGAACTTTAATTTATGTCAGATTTACATTCGGTTAGCAGATGTTTTATCCAAATCAATTCATCGTATGGAAACAGTAGCAGCAAACTGCAAAAATATCTTCATATTTTTTTAATAATTAGTGATATATATATATATATATATATTCTTGTTTTTAAAAATCTTCACATTTTAAATTTTCTAGTCCCTATTTTTTTGCCATTTAAAAGAATATTGAACTGCAATTGGCATTAAAAATGTAATCTTTTATAATCTAGCGTTTTTGCTTTCCTGAATAAGCATATGTGAGTGTACGTGTGTGTGTGTGTGTGTGTGTGTGTGTGATGTTATTGGCGCTGACAGTGTGAATGTGAGATTGTGCTGCATTCGTTCGAGGTGCGAGACCCTCGGCACTAGTGTTTGCGTGATTCATCTAATGAGCTTTGACGTGTTGTTGTTTGTTAAAAACAAATTTCCTTTCCTTTGTTTTTTTTAATGCGTGTGTGATGCAATATTCAAGGATTCAGGTTTCAAGTCCTCAGTCCGTTCTTTGTTCACACCATCTTCTGTCACTTTGTTGTTAAAAAGATTTTTTTCCGATTGCTTCCGCTTGTTTTTTTAATTCATTCACTTCACATTATCTAGTACTGGAGATGGTTATCATTGTTATGATCTTGCAATTAATCATTAATAATTCACCAATTAATATCAATAATAATATAAACATTAACCGTAATATTAATAATACAAATATTATTAATATTAGTAATATAGTATTCATAATTTTTTTACCCACATTTTCCCCTCTTGCAGGAAATTTACTGCTGTACCAAATTTTTAAAATTACTAAATGTGGAGTCCCATTTCTGTCACAAATCAGAATTTTCTCATTTTTTTAAATATAAAGATTTGAGTTTATATCTCACAATTCTGTTTATATTTTGGAATTCTGACTATTTTTTCCCACAATACTGAGTTTAAATCTCACAATTCTGAATTGTCTTCTTAAAATTGTGATTTTATATCTTGTAATTCTGTTTATATCTTGCACTTCTGTTTTTATATCTCAGAATTTTGAGAAACAAAGTCTGAATTGTGAGATTAAATGTCACAATTATCTTTTTTATATTTTTTTTTTCCATGGCGGTATTGGGCACACTATATATTTCCCTATATAGAACACTAACACTAGAAATTACAGTAACAAAATACACAAAATGACTGAAATATTCTGAAGCCTTTTGTATGGTTTCAGAAAATCCCATATGAATTTAATATGATTTTATGGTTTGTAATTTCAAAGGTAAATTTTTCATAAGCAAATTATACAAAATAGCCCTGGCTGTTTTATTTTTCTTCATCCATAATATATATTTTTTATATATATATATATATATATAGTTTTGTTGTAATGCGGGTCTCACTCTCGTCATGTCTCACTCTCGTCTCTTTCCATAAATCACAGCGGCACAAATATGATTACAATTGCTTTGGCTCTTTTTTTAAAGCAGTTGTCTGCTGTCTGCATTGGATTCTGGGATTCAGATTTGTAAAACGACTCGTGTGTGATATTTCAGCAGATAAAACCCTGCACTATTAGATCAGATGCATCTAAAATTAACTGTAATTTCTGTGTTTTTTCACAGGCAAACACCTCCACATTTTCTCGTGAAGTGTAAAAATGTAGTAACACTCTCTGTAGTAAATGTGGTTACCATGGTAAATCCTTGGCGAGGACGTTTTGCAGCGTTCTGAGAGAGGCAGAAGTGATTTTCTCAGCATGTTTGGCTGTATTTATGTCTCTGGCAGTCAGGTGACGGCTGCACATGTCATGTGTTTCCTCGGCTCTCATTATCTGCTCCTCGAGCACATGCGCCTCCACGAGAGACCGCCAACAATACTGCATCTGCTCCCAAAACACACACACGTAAAGCTTTACAGAGGATATTCTTGATCTCACAAAATCTGTTCAAGAGCATGTCCATGTCGCGTTTAACCCTAAAATAAAAAAAATTAAAAAGATAATATACAGGTGCATCTCAATAAATTACAATGTCATGGAAAAGTTCATTTATTTCAGTAATTCAACTCAAATTGTGAAACTCGTGTATTAAATAAATTCAGTGCACACAGACTGAAGTAGTTTAAGTCTTTGGTTCTTTTAATTGTGATGATTTTGGCTCACATTTAACAAAAACCCACCAATTCACTATCTCAACAAATTAGAATACTTCATAAGACCAATAAAAAAAACATTTTTAGTGAATTGTTGCGAAGACAATAAAGAAAAAAATGCCTTTTTACTGTATTATGTGCATTGTGGCAATTAAATAGTTTTTTTCTGGAAAAATGTATGATGTATATTTTGTAAATAGTGAGTATTTATGCGTCTTAATAGTAATTTCAATTTTGCTGATTTTAAGTAAATAAATTAGTTGCATTACATTAGAGAGAATCACCACTGGATGGAAAATGTGTTTAAATGTCATAAAAAATAATGACAGTGTAATATATATATATATATTATGCCATTTAAGTGCATTTATTATTTTATTATTATTATTATGTTATGTATTATTATTATTATGTAATTTTCTTTATGCAAAATGTGTTTTTTTTTCTTCTCTATATATATATTTACACGGTAACATTATTTACATGTATTGACATGTAAGCACATTTATTGTTATGTTAATATATTTATATTACATTATATGTATATATATATATATATATATATATATATATATATTAAAACAAATATATTTGTCCTGAAATTAGGAAATGAGAAAATTTTCTTTATGCAAAAATGCAAAATCATGTTCTTTTGATATATGTATATATATATAATATAGTGATATACATTATTATGTAATTTTCTTTATGCAAAATGTGTTTTTTTTTCTTCTCTATATATATATATATATTTACACGGTAACATTATTTACATGTATTGACATGTAAGCACATTTATTGTTATGTTAATATATTTATATTACATTATATGTATATATATATATATATATATATATATATATATATTAAAACAAATATATTTGTCCTGAAATTAGGAAATGAGAAAATTTTCTTTATGCAAAATATGTTTTTCATGTTCTTTTGATATATGTATATATATATAATATAGTGATATACATTATATATAATAGAGATATAACACAAATTTATTGGTCTCAAAATAAGCAGTCTTTAACTGTATTTATGTAAAACTTATTTTCTTTTGATTGTGTGCTAAAAATATGACCTGGCCATGTGTTGATGAGATTCATCCGTGTCCCAGGATGAAATGAAATTTTTTTCAGCGCTGTATTGCTGCTCTAATTCCCCGTTATTAAATTGTCTCGCTCCTCTCGGGTGTAAAGCAGGTCAGTTCTGTTATCTTGCCGGCACGTGCTGAGGAATGATTGACAGGTTTACTTGCCTGTAGCTCCGCCCACTCCCCTTGAATTCAGTGACACAGAAACGTGTGCAAGAAAAGCGCAGTGTGAAATAACTGCGAGGCTCAGAGCTGCAGACTCCCGCCGTTTGTCCTTGAACTGATATTCACACATTAACCAGTGTGTGTTCAGAATAGCAGACTCTATATACTAGTTCTGCAGTATGCGTGTTTGGACTTTCTGTATACATACAGTGAGATATTATAGTTCCCAAAATGTGCAGTTTACACTGTTTGGGTTAATGTATCCGACTTGACCTTCCGCTTCCTATGTGATGACTCAACTGGAAGTAATATAATGAATGATTTTTAACAAGTAGACTGCCATAAGACGTTTTTACAGAAAACTGCAAAAAAATTTAAAATGATCATATTTATTTGAATGAATCAGACATGCAACTTAATGAGGTCATGTGACAACATTGTTGCATACTGGTATTTTGCATGCTCTTTTTTTGCGCAGTAAGCATTCTAAACACTTGCTCGCCTATATAGACTGTTATTAGGTTTATCTTTTATTGTTTTATTAGCAAAGCCATTTTTTAAAATGATCTGCATTTGTCATTATGTCTCTTTTCTTCCTCTCCTCATTTCAGACGCTGCTTTTAAGAAGACCTACATAACTGAGGTGAAGCATCATTTATTATCTGTATATCAGTAATTTTGGTCATACAACTCCAGTGTTACTTAATGCAGTCTTTGAGAAGAGTTAAGCATTCAAGTGTTTGGAAAATGATTTTGATCTGAGGGTTCAGAAATTGAGATTTAAAGAAGTAATTCACCCAAAAATGAAAATTTGCTGAAAATGTGCTTAGGCCTTCCAAGATGTAGATGAGTTTGTTTCTTCATCAGATTTGTAGAAATGTAGCATTGCATCAGTGTCTCAGCAATGGATGCTCTGCAGTGAATGGGTGCCGTCAGAATGAGAGTCCACACAGCTGATAAAAACATCACAATAATCCACAAGTAATCCACAGCACTCCAGTCCATCAGTTAACATCTTCAGAAGACAAAAGCCGAAACAAGTCCATTATTAAGACGTTTATACTGTCATTTATGGCTAAAATAGTCCATAATCTATAATAACGCTTCCTCCAGTGAAAAAGTGGTCTGGTCTGAATCAGGAGAGAAATCTGCACAGATCAAGCACTGTTTACGAGCCAAAACAGCTCTAAACAAATATGTGGCTGGATTTTAATGTGAGAGACAACAGGAGATGGGCTTTTTCACTGGAGGAAGCGTTATTATGGATTATGGACTTTTTGGCCAGAAGTGGTTTGAAGTTGAAAACATCTTAATACTGGATGTGTTTCAGCTTTTGTCTTTTCCAGATGTTAACTGATGGACTGGAGTGGTGTGGATTACTTGTGGATTATTGTGATGTTTTTATCAGCTGTTTGGACTCTCATTCTGACGGCACCCATTCACTGCAGAGCATCCATTGCTGAGACACTGATGCAATGCTACATTTCATAAACAATAACTTAAACTAAAATTTCAGCAAATTTTCATTTTGGGATGAACTATTTATTTCAGGTTAATTGAAGTGTCAACTTTATCTCAAATGTTTCTCCTAAAACTCCTCAGGAGAAATAAAAATAGACACACATGAATCATATAGTATAGAGCTATAAGATGCATGTGGATAGCAGCTCAGATCATTTGGAGATCATCTTGGGAGATCAAATCTCTGTTTAATCTCTTTGCTGTCTAATTGAGACATATTAATGAGATCTCATTTGTGATTTTTCTTCTTCTCAGATGCCGTCGTCCTCGTGTCCCTCCAGCTCCGGGCTTGAAAAGAAGATCGGTCACAGGCGGGTCGATGCATCCGGTGAAACCACCTACAAGAAGGTGCATCTTCAGTCACACATCAGCTTCACAGTGTCTCGAGCTCAATTGCAATCTGGTCAAATTCAATCACAATTCCAGTCATCTTTTACTTCAGGCTGTTGACATATACAGTGTGCTCCAAAAGTGTTCACGTCGGACATCTGGGATTTTATTCTCATTTAATTCTGGAAATCATCAGACAGCTTTAGGATTTTAAAAACGACTTTTTGACATCATTGCATATTGCATATAAACGTACTACAGTATATATGATATAGCATGATTTATTGACAGCTAATGAGACATTAAAATTGCCAAGTCTAATGACTTTATACACAATAATTTCAGTAAATTAAAACATTACTGTGCATTGTCTGTTGACACAAAGGGAACCTAACATTTGAGTAATTATTGGTGGTAATCTAAAAATGCTCCAAATATTAGCTAATAAATTGGTTTATTATGAAGAAAAAACTTTTTTAAACCATTTTCACATGGTATTTGTAGATAATTATATATATATATGCAATTATATATTTTATCTAAATATGTATATTTTTTATATGAAAATGTTTTATATGAAAAGTATTTTTAATTGTATGTTAGCAAAATATTTTTTTAAATATATTTTTTAAATAAATATTTATTAAAATATATTTAAAAAGTAGAGTAAGGCATTCATATGTGTTTTATAAGTACTAATAAACAGCCAATATGCTAGTAATATGTATGTTAATAAGCAACTAGTTAATAGTGAGAATTGGTGAGAATAAAGTGGGTTACACTATATTTTAAGGTGTCCTTGTTACAGTGTAATTATACATTTAAGTTCTGAGTAATATTAATTAACTACATGTACTTACTATATGGTTAGGATTACGATTAAGGTTGGGCTTAGAGTTACTTGCATGTCATTATGGATAATTTATTGTTATTATAAACGTAAGTACATGTAACGTGTAGGACACCTTAAAATAAAGTGTTACCATATATATTACATTTTTACAAAGACTTTATATTTATAGTTTGCTGTGTGGTCCCGTGTATGCTGCTCTGCAGTCAGTGTATGTCAGGGATTGTTGGATGTGTCAGAAGTGTTGGTTGTCTCGTGTGTCGACAGACGACTTCGTCTGCCCTGAAAGGAGCCATTCAGCTGGGGATCGGCTACACTGTGGGTAACCTGAGCTCCAAACCCGAGCGCGACGTCCTCATGCAAGACTTCTACGTGGTGGAGAGCATTTTCTTCCCCAGGTCTGTAAGAGAGAGTTCTGCTGCACCAGAGAGTTAAATCCTTCTGTTCATATAGTCTCACTGCCATATCACTGTCTCTTTCTCGCTCTCTCTCTCTCTATCTCTCTCTCTCTCTCTCTATATATATATATATATATATATATATATATATATACACTACCAGTCATAAGTCTGGGATCAGAACGATTTTTTATTTTTTTTACAGGAGTTTCTTCTGCTCATCAAGGCTGCATTTATATGATCAAAAATACAGGAAAAGTTTAATAATGTGAAATGTTATTATGATGTAAAATAAAATTTTTCTATATTAATAAACATTAAAATCTAATTTATTGCTGTAATCAATTCTGTATTTTCAGCATCATTACTCCAGTCTTCAGTGTCGCATGATCTTCAGAAATCAGTATAATATGCTGATTTATTATCAGTGCTGGAAACGGTTGCTGCTTCATATTTTTTTGGAACCTTTGATACTTTTTTCAGGATTCTTTGATGAATAAAAAGTTAAAAAGAAGAGCATTTATTTAAAATAGAAATATTTTCTAACAATATACACTACAGTTCAAAAGTTTAGGGTCAGTACATTTTTATTCTCTCTTTTTTTTTTTGAAAGAAATTAAAACTTTTATTCAGCAAGGATGTGTTCAATTGTTAAGAAGTGATAGCAAAGATTTATATTGTTAGAAAAGATTTATATTTTGAATAAATGCTGTTCTTTTTAACTTTTTATTCATCAAAGAATCCTGAAAAAAGTATCGCAGTTTCCAAAAAAATATTTGGCAGCACAACTGTTGATAATTCTAATAATAAATCAGCATATTAGAATGATTTCTGAAGATCATGTGACACTTTATGCTGGAGTAATGATGCTGAAAATGCAGCTGCGCATCACAGAAATAAATTCTATTTTAAAGGATATTAAAATAGAAACCATTATTTTATATTGTAATAAAATTTTTAAAGATTATATATATATATATATATATATACAATAAACTTCAAATATATACATATGTACTGTATATTTTTTCTAATTATTAATTCTAATAATTTTATTCTTACAATCTACAAAGTCAATCCACTGCATAAAAAAAATGTGTTATTCAATTATTTTCCACTACAAATATCTAGACATTTATAAATCAAATTATTTATTTACAATGCTAATTTTAGGAAGATATTAAGTCTTACTTTCTAAAATAATTATCAAAATTAAGTGAGATTTTGCTGAAAACAAGAAAAAATATCTGCCATTGGGTCAGAAAATGTTTCTTTGTTTTCTCTTTGAATTAAGCTTATTTTTTGGACCTCACTGGCAGATTTTTTTTTTCTCCATAAAACCTTTTCAGAAATCTTAATATCACAAGTAAGTATTTTTAGATATTTGTACTAGACAAAAATACCAAGTGAGAAAAAAATACTGTCTATTTTATATTGTATCATTGATTCTTTTGATTGTTTATATTGTGTATTGATTTATTACATCATTTTCAATGCTTCACGGGCTGAGCAGCTAATTCACTTACAGTTTTTTTTTTCAACTGCTTACACACAAAATATTTACTTGTCACACAATTTCTGAAAGCTGACACTCAAACAGCAGAAGCACACACCAAATCTGCAAAACCATACACTAATACTCGGCCTTTGACTCTGTTTTCAGTTTCATAAAACACTTTTTGCAAAACACAACTCACAATTCTCTATGTAACACACACAAATCTAACAGGAATTGATATTAGGGCAAAGGTGTTTGCAAATGTTTGATTTTGAGATGTGTTTGTGATATTTTGAATGCAGTGCTTCAAGGCATTTTGCATTTTGCGTGTGCAATTCTTGGATTTGTGTGTAAAGTTTTAAAAATGTGTGTGAGCAGTTGAAAAAAAACTGTAAATAAAATATATATTACACTAGTATTGACATGATTTTTTAATGTCTTTGAAAAGAACTCTCTTCCACTCTGCAATAAAAAGTGTAATTTTGTGGAATATAAAATCATAAATCCTGTTGCTGATCAGTCAGATGATCCAGATTTGATGTGTGTGTCTCTCTCAGTGAAGGCAGTAATCTGACGCCGGCGCATCACTATCCAGACTTCAGGTTTAAAACATACGCTCCGGTGGCTTTCCGCTACTTCAGAGAGCTCTTCGGGATTCGACCGGACGACTATCTGGTGAGACACGCCACAAACACTGGCTCTCATTCACTAATAACTGTGTGTGTTATTTCATATATGTACGCACAGGAGGTCTTTAGTATTTTGAGATATTTTCTTGACATATTATCCCTCTACAAAAAAAACAATAAGATTTTTCCTTTGGCTTTTGAATTATTGCAGAAAATTAGTTCTGTGAGCCACAAAACTTTATGATCCTTACATGTTTTGTTCATCATTATAATATTCACGATTTTTCTGTATTGCTTCAGATCAAATATGCCAAAAAAGACTCTTGACTCTCCTGACTCACTTCTGTTTGTTTTGAGTGATGCTTTCTGAATGACTGCGTGTGTGTGTGTGTGTGTGTGTGTGTGTGTGTGTGTGTGTGTGTGTGTGTGTGTGTGTGTGTGTGTGTGTGTGTGTGTGTGTGTCTGTGTGTGTGTGTGTGTGTGTGTGTGTGTGTGTGTGTGTGTGTGTGTGTCTGTCTCTGTCTGTGTCTGTGTGTCTCTGTGTGTATCTGTTTCTGTGTGTCTTTGTGTCTCTGTGTGTCTGTGTCTCTGTGTCTGTGTCTGTGTGTGTGTGTGTGTGTGTGTGTGTCTCTGTGTGTCTCTGTGTCTGTGTGTGTCTCTGTGTCTCTGAGTGTACTTTCTTTCTTCTGTGGAACACAAGACGCTGTTTGTTTTTCATGCAATAAAAGTGGATGGTGATTCATATTAATAAAAGCTCCAAAAAGCATAAAAGTCTGACTCAGTGGAGAGCCGCATCATATCAGCGTATATCGATTATTCAGACGTCTCTCTGACGTCTCTGTGTTTGTTGCAGTATTCTCTCTGTAATGAGCCCTTGATCGAGCTCTCAAACCCCGGTGCCAGCGGCTCCATTTTCTACGTCACTCGAGACGATGAATTCATCCTGAAGACCGTCATGCACAAAGAGGCTGAGTTCCTGCAGAAGCTGCTTCCAGGATACTACATGGTGAGCCAGCAGCTCGTCCTCAGTCCAGTTCAGCTTCATCACACAAACAGTAGTGTGCATGATCACAGGATAAAAGAGTAGGACAAAGCTGGCTGGTTAAATATTTCTGCAGAAATGTCAAAGTATGCATCTTACATAAAAGCATTAACATTTTAGGCCAACCCTTTTTAAATGTTTAAAAATGTATGTGATGTGAAGCTGTTGCAGCATTAAGAGTAAGTGAAGTAATGAAGTTTAAGGTAATGCATTTGTGTTCATTCAAACACAGAGTCTGTGGTCAAGACACAAATTTAGTTTATTTAAAAAAAAATCACATGTGCCATATTTACAATTTTCAAACAGTGTTATTGTTGTATAATATACGATTATAGTTTTTAATGTTATTTTTATATTTAATTTTTCATTTTAATTTAAGTTAATGTTATAGTAATTTACTTTTTTATGTCTACATGGTTTTTCATCAAGTGAATTAGTTATTTTTAGTGCTGTTGATTAATCGCATCCAAAATAAAAGTTTTTGTTTACATAATATATGTATGTGTAGTGTGCATATTTATTATGTATATATAAATACACACACATACAGTATATATTTTGGAAATATTTACATGCATATACATTTATATATTTATATTCTTATATTTTATATTATATATAAAGATATTTAATATATAAACAACATATTTTTCTTAAATATATACATGCATGTGTTTGTATTTATAGACACAATAAATATACACAGTACACACAGATATATTATGTAAACAAAAACTTTTCGCGATTAATCGTTTGACAGCGCTAGTTATTTTTAGTTATTTATCTGTAACTTAAACAAAATGAGAAATGTTTCCTTGGCAACTAGCTAAAATAACATTTCTGCTGTTTATTTTTATTTAATTTGTTTTTATTTCAAGTAATGAAAATGTTTTTTTAAGGTTCTAGATTTAAAAATGCCTCATTTTGCATCATTCAACAGATGAAAATATTAAAAATCTAGATTAACAAATAATAAACACTAACTATATGATATGAAAATGGAAATTCTAAAAAAAATTAATGAAACTTTAAAAATAAAGCTAGATAAAGAGAGTTAAGGCACAGTTGCTTTAAGGATTGAAATAAAAAATTTAAATGCCACAAATTAGTGCTTAATTTGTGCTCAAAATTAACCTTAAAAATGCTAAATAATAAGCATAATTAGGGATAGTAAAGATTAACTTCCAAAAGTACAAACATAAAATAACATTTGAAAAAAATACTGTATATACATTGTGTGTATATATATATATATATATATACACAGTTTGTGATGTTGAAAAGATTAAATATAATTTAAATTGTAATTGTTAAATACAGTTTATCTCATTTTAATTTTTTTTTTAAGTCAAGTCATAATTTTGATGTGATATGAAACTGTTTTGATCTGTTTGCTATTTGCGAAGGTGATTACTCTTTATTATTTTTCACAGTGTGATATTGATGTGTTGTATTAAAATTAGTTAGGGTTAGTTTGGCCCGCAAACATCATAATAATAAATAATTAAAATGGTAGTATATGCAACCCTCAACAGTTTCAAAACAAAAACATATGATATGTATGTCCATATTTTTTGATCCATAGGTAATAACAAGCGAGATGTTTGACGACTGAACTAGGAAATCTTTCTGGTTTATATTTCAGAAATCAGGTCGCATCATTATTATGCCACAGCCCTTTTTCTCTGTTTTCTCTGGTCATGTAGCAGCGATTTCAATCATTTTTCCCAGGTTTTCTGACTCTTTAACTGAGGCTCATCTGTGCTGTTCATCCCTCAGAACCTGAACCAGAATCCCCGCACGCTGCTGCCCAAGTTCTTCGGCTTGTACTGCGTTCAGTCCGGAGGGAAGAACATCCGTATCGTGGTGATGAATAACATCCTGCCGCGCATCGTTCGCATGCACCTCAAGTTCGACCTGAAGGGCTCCACGTACAAGCGCCGCGCGTCCAAGAAAGAGCGCGAGAAGTCCAAGCCCACCTTTAAAGACCTGGACTTCATGCAGGACGTTCAGGACGGACTCCTGCTGGATGTGGACACGTATAACGCGCTGCTGAAGACGCTCCAGAGAGACTGTCTGGTGAGAGAGACCGGCTTGATCTCGCCAAAATCATCCAGTTGTGATTTTTTCGATAAAAATTGTGATTGTGATTAAAAACGAAAACTCCAGGTTTGCTTGTTTGTTGGGCTACACAATTTTGGGTCAACATTTTGTAATTTTATTATAATAATTATAATAATAATAACAATAACAATATAAATTATTATTATTAACACATATTATTATTATTATTTTATTATTATTATTATTATTGCAACTAAATAAAAATATGAATTGCTAAATAAAAACAAAATAACAAATATTACTATTGTAATATTTCACTGTAAAATAGAAAAAGCAAGTATTTAAGAAAATTAATGCAATAAAAAAATGTTTTACATTTATAAAAACTCAAACTGTGTGACTTTTAAGACTATTCATTAGGTAAATCTGGACATTCATTTATTTAAATGTAATTAATTAAAACAAATTTTTTTTTTTGTATTTCAAAATTTGCAACTCTGATTTAACATGCAATTAAAAACAAAAATTCCAGTTTTGTTTTTCTTGGTTGTAGGGCTACAACATGTATTATTATCATTGTTGTTGTTATTGTTATTGTTATTATTATTATTGCTACTAAATAATGATATAAAAATTGCTAAATAAAAACAAAATAAATATTAGTATTTATATAAATAGTAAAATAAATAGAAAACATTTTAGTATTTAAGAATTTTTTTTTTATAATAATATTTCATTATTATTATTATTATTAAAAAATTGCCATTGTGATTTAAAATATGTAAAAAAAACAAAAAAAACAAACGTTTTTTTAAATCCAGGTTTGCATGTCTGTAGGACTATATGATTTGGCCAAAATTTTGTTTATATAACCATATGACTATATATTATTAATAATAATAATAATTATTATTATTATTATTGCTAAATAAAAATAATAAAAACAAAATAAAAATATTACTATTGTAACATTTCACTGTAAAACAGAAAAAAATCAAGTATTTAATAATGATAATTGTATTTTTTTATTATTATTATTTATCTTAGTCACATTTAGATTTTATTTCGATTAACCGTGCAGTCCTAGCTGGGTTAGTGCAGATCTAAAGTGTGCTGTGTGTGTGCAGGTGTTGGAGAGTTTTAAGATCATGGACTACAGTCTGCTGCTGGGGGTTCATAATCTGGAGCAGGCGGAGCGCGAGCAGCAGATGGAGGGATCTCAGAGCAGCAGCGATGAGAAGAGACCGGCCGCGCAGCGAGCGCTTTACTCCAGCGCCATGGAGTCCATTCAGGGAGGAGCGGCATGCAGCGGCTCCATAGACACCGACGACACGTGCGTGCCTCTCATTTAAAGGCTCATGAAACCCCAGACTACTTTTTCTGAGTTTGTGTTGCACATCATAGAAGACAACGTTAGCATCCCATAATTTTAACAGTTGGAGAAAACTGGTTAATTTTAGGCTTTTTTGTGCTATTTTCATCCTCCGGGTTTAAAATCTACATTGTGTTGACGTCACAATTTGTGACGTGACAGTGGACTAATAGTACATCGATGACGCGTCGGTGTCTATTAAAGTATTCATGAGACTGCGTATTCTTATCCTATGAGAAGACGCTTCGCTTAATTATTCAGAACAGCATGTGTTGATTTGCTATGACAGGCGCTTCAGACAGTGAGATCGTGTATGTTACCTGAGAGAAGCGTTCATGGATCAGAGGAGAGTGTTTGTTTTTGCTTTGTAATAAGAGTTCGGCACAAACGTGATTCATTCACTTAGTGAGTGTAACTGTTTTTACAGCTCCGTGACTCAACTCGTCAAAAGGCTTATATAACACCGCAGAATAAGATTCTCTGCTCTCTCTGCAGGATGGGTGGCATTCCTGCTGTCAGCGGCACAGGAGAGAGACTCCTGCTCTTCATCGGCATCATAGACATCCTGCAGTCCTACAGGTCACACTCATGATAATGAAATAACATCAGTTCATTCGTGAAGCACATGTCAGATCTGCTCTGTTCTCTGAATCAGAGAAATCCTGATTTGCAAGTCACGTGATTCATCACCCACAAAAATGCCCACATTTATTAATTTATTTTTATTATTTTATTATTATTTTTTAGGAGTGATTTAAGTCATTGCCGTATGAGTATCAAACCTGCTTAAGATTTAACATTTAAATTACCTTTTAAATTGATGTTTATATTTATTTTAAAAGTATATTTATATAGTATTTATGTACAATTTTGATTTAACATTTTTTAAATATATTTTGATATCTGAAAATATTATATTGTTAAATTAATTATGAAACTATAATACTTGTTTATGTATTTATTTGTTTATTTGACAAATTGGGGTGATATTTGTTTTAAGCCAATTTAAGCCTTTTTTAAATTGTGTTTCATGGCGCAGGTGGTTGGAATTAATAAAATAAAATAATTATTAAACTATAAATGTAAAAAAAAAAATCTTACCTTTGCAGACTCTGAATTAAGTAAATCTGGCCCTTTGTTTTTATTTTATTTATTTAGTTATTGGCAAAATTGTGGCAATATTTTGAATTGTATTTTATATTTCACACAGTGCTTGTGCCTTGTAGTTGTTATTAAAATTATTTATTAAATTTAGATCAATTGTTAAGCTATACATAATTTTTTTAGCTGTCTACCTTTTAAGACTCATAATTATGTAAATCTGACCATTATTTATATATGTATTTAGTTATATATGTATTTATTTATTTATTTTATTTTGTCCTAAATTAAATAAATAAAAAAATATTGTATGAAAGTGAGTATTTAAATAAATAAATTAATTTATTTAATATTGATTGATATGTAAAAATATTCAATTTTATTTTATTTTGGGCCCTTATTAAATTGTGTTTTCTGTTGCACACGGTGCAGGTGGCCTGTAGTTTTGCGCGTGTGTATTTTCTCTCCTGCTGCTCTCTGATTCTCCGTTAGTGTGTGTTTGTGCTCTTTTGCTCGAGAGTCACGCCAGTGAACCTCGTACAGATGATGAAGCGCATGGCTTTATAATCTTCACTAGCGTTTGGGGTTGTTTTATGCTCTTATGTAACGGTTTTTATAAGACTGCATTGAGTTCTCCATCAGGACACTCAGCAGAGAAGTGAAGCTGATGTTTGTGTTTTTCTGCAGACTCACAAAGAAGCTGGAACACACGTGGAAGGCTCTGGTGCACGACGGAGTGAGAAACTCTCACAAATACATCATCATCATCATCTTCATCATCTTGACCGTTATAATGCATCATAACCCATGCGTCTGCCATCTCAGAGCATTAATACACATCACGTCTGATACTGTACATCTACAGTATAAACACACACTGATTCATGACCCTCCTTCCCCAATAAAACTTACTAATTTAAATCTCAAATATTATTATTATTATTATTATTTTTAAAAATAATTATTAAATAATAAATTCTTTATTAATTTTCATAATTGTGCCAATATTTGTTTTAACATAATTAGGCATAATATAATTTTAAAATTGTGTTTTATGGCGCAGGTGCCCTGCCCTGTAGTTAATATTGTTGTTAAAATAATTATTAAACTATAAATTTGTAGTTTAGAAAATGTAACATTTAACAAAAATTTAACAACTACCTACCTTTTAAGAATCTTAAGAAGAAATAATTTAAGATTTTATTTAATTTGTATTGTTTTTATTGCCAGAATTGTGGCAATATTTTGAATTGTGTTTTACGTTGCATATGGTGCTTGTGTGTTTTTAAAATGTATTTAATTTAAAATAATTAAGGTATACATTTATTTAAAAAAGTAAAGCTGCACTTTTAAGACTGTTAGGTAAATTACCTAAAAATTAGGTAAATGTGGACATACTTTATTTATTTATTTGTTGACTTTGTTGCAGTGTTTTTATTTTATTTCATATTTTATTTTGGGCCCTTTAGAAATTATTTTATATATTGCATATGGTGCAGGTGCTGTGTAGTTTTTGGGGTGAAATATTGTCATAAACACACATCATCTCTGATGTATCAACACCAGATGTGAGGCACAGTTATTTGTGAAGGTGAATACTGAATTTGCCCCAGTAGAGTAATTTCACCCTGTGGCCTCCTTTATTAATGCGCGCGTGCGTGTGTGTGTGAGAGTGTGAGGGTGTGTGTGTGTGAGGGTGTGTGTGTGTGTGTGTGTGTGTGTACTGGTTTATATATCCTGGTGGGGACTTAAACCTGACTACACACAGACTAATGGGGACTCGTGTCACCGTGTCACCCTAAATTGTGGTCCCCACGGGTACAAGTGAGTGTCTGTGTCTGTGTCTGTGTGTCTGTATTATTTTATATATTGCATATGGTGCAGGTGCTGTGTAGTTTTTGGGGTGAAATATTGTCATAAACACACATCATCTCTGATGTATCAACACCAGATGTGAGGCACAGTTATTTGTGAAGGTGAATACTGAATTTGCCCCAGTAGAGTAATTTCACCCTGTGGCCTCCTTTATTAATGCGCGCGTGCGTGTGTGTGTGTGAGGGTGTGTGTGTGTGTGTGAGGGTGTACTGGTTTATATATCCTGGTGGGGACTTAAACCTGACTACACACAGACTAATGGGGACTCGTGTCACGGTGGGGACCTAAATTGTGGTCCCCACGGGTACAAGTGAGTGTCTGTGTCTGTGTCTGTGTGTCTGTCTGTGTCTGTGTCTGTGTCTGTGTGTCTGTGTGTGTTGAGGAGATTGACTGAGACAGTGGACAGACTTTGATAAGGATCACTTGTGTTTGGTTTCACTGTAGATAATGTGAGTGTAAGTCTGAGAGAACATCTCTTTCCATTCGCTTTCCAACTTCTGTTTCTCTCTACTTCAGTTCCAGTCTGTGCTTTTCTCCCCAAACACTCCCACATGTTCCCATCAAACACTGTTCCTGTAAGACACGCTGGATTCTTCCTGCAGGCGGTGTTTGACAGATCTGAAGGATTTTGTTTTGTCTTATTAGGCACATTTGTACACTTGAAAGCAGATTTGTGTAAATCAAATTGACTACTGCTATTTCTATAAATGTGAATTTCATAGAAACATGTTCAGGTCGTATTTCACCCTAAAATAAACACATTACGTCGAAGTATAATTATACAAACAGTAAATGAAGTCTTTTTTTAGAATTTTCATGATAAAGAGAATTAGAATAATTCATTTTCTCCTAAATTTCTAATTATCATATGGATGTTTTACTTTTGAGTTTTACTTGTTCTCAATGATGATTCTTATTGGATTCTCATTATTGTAATACAGTATTTGTATGGTACAATTTAATATAAAAAGTAAAATATTACTATAATATAATGATTTTTTAATCAGGATAAATGAAATGCAGTATAACAAATACTACTATGATATAAACAGAAATACTATATATATATATATATATATATATATATATGCAATACAATAATAGTTAAATCATATATAATATTATATATAAATATATAGTTTATATTTTGAAAAAAAAAACTTGCTACGTGTGCTGCATTAAGCTAACTGAGACTTGTTATAGCACTTGCATATCATTGCTCTTTTGTTGATTTTGATTGCTTCCAATTATTTTTTGGATAAAAGCGTCTGCTAAATGATTAAATGTAAATATAGTTTATCTATAATATTTTTTGTTCTTTTGCGTTAAGCAGTGACATTTAAAAAAAAAAAAAAGTATAATGTGCTTAACTGTCATGAAAATAGTATCAGAAGTCAAAAAATCTAAAATTAGACTCTATTTAGGCAAAATATGCTAAATATAATAATGTGCCTCTTCTGCAGCGATTCGAATGATAATTTGCTCCTCAATAATGACATTGAGAAACTTTAATAGACATTAAAGTATATATAAATACTTCAAATAGGAGTTTTATTGTTATTTAGACCCATTTTGCCTGATCAATATATACTCGTATTTCTCTCAGGACACTGTTTCCGTCCACCGACCGAACTTCTACGCTGACCGCTTCTTCAGGTTCATGAGCAGCACTGTGTTCAAGAAAAGCACTTGTGAGTGCCTCACAGAACGACTGTAGTGATAAAGAGCTGAAGGAGACGCTGTAATCTAACAGAAGTCTGATTCTGGTTTGTCCAGCACTGAAGGCTTCTCCAGCTAAGAAGGGCCGTGCGGTGCTGACCGTGCCCAAACTCAGTGGCCCCGGAGCGGCCTGGTCAGCCTGCCAGCTTCCCTCAGAGAGAGACGAGAACATCTATGATCTGAGAGGAGCGCGCAGCTTCCCCGTGCTGGAAAACCATGGTGATCATCCTACTTTATGTGCATGCTTTTGATAAGTAGTGTTTTGCATAGAAGCCAGTTTGCACCAGGGAATAAAAATCAAAAAGGCAATTGTGACTTTTTGTCTCACAATTCTGACATTTTTTTCTCTGAATTCAGAGATTATATATTGCAATTGTGAGTTTATAGCTCACATTTATTACTTTATTCTCTGAATTCAGAGAATACAGTAATAAATGTGAGCTAAAAACTCAGCATTGCGAGATATAATCTGAATTCGGAGAAAAAAGTAATAAATGTGAGCTAAAAACTCAGCATTGCGAGATATAATCTGAATTCGGAGAAAAAAGTAATAAATGTGAGCTAAAAACTCAGCATTGCGAGATATAATCTGAATTCGGAGAAAAAAGTAATAAATGTGAGCTAAAAACTCAGCATTGCGAGATATAATCTGAATTCGGAGAAAAAAGTAATAAATGTGAGCTAAAAACTCAGCATTGCGAGATATAATCTGAATTCGGAGAAAAAAGTAATAAATGTGAGCTAAAAACTCAGCATTGCGAGATATAATCTGAATTCGGAGAAAAAAGTAATAAATGTGAGCTAAAAACTCAGCATTGCGAGATATAATCTGAATTCGGAGAAAAAAGTAATAAATGTGAGCTAAAAACTCAGCATTGCGAGATATAATCTGAATTCGGAGAAAAAAGTAATAAATGTGAGCTAAAAACTCAGCATTGCGAGATATAATCTGAATTCGGAGAAAAAAGTAATAAATGTGAGCTAAAAACTCAGCATTGCGAGATATAATCTGAATTCGGAGAAAAAAGTAATAAATGTGAGCTAAAAACTCAGCATTGCGAGATATAATCTGAATTCGGAGAAAAAAGTAATAAATGTGAGCTAAAAACTCAGCATTGCGAGATATAATCTGAATTCGGAGAAAAAAGTAATAAATGTGAGCTAAAAACTCAGCATTGCGAGATATAATCTGAATTCGGAGAAAAAAGTAATAAATGTGAGCTAAAAACTCAGCATTGCGAGATATAATCTGAATTCGGAGAAAAAAGTAATAAATGTGAGCTAAAAACTCAGCATTGCGAGATATAATCTGAATTCGGAGAAAAAAGTAATAAATGTGAGCTAAAAACTCAGCATTGCGAGATATAATCTGAATTCGGAGAAAAAAGTAATAAATGTGAGCTAAAAACTCAGCATTGCGAGATATAATCTGAATTCGGAGAAAAAAGTAATAAATGTGAGCTAAAAACTCAGCATTGCGAGATATAATCTGAATTCGGAGAAAAAAGTAATAAATGTGAGCTAAAAACTCAGCATTGCGAGATATAATCTGAATTCGGAGAAAAAAGTAATAAATGTGAGCTAAAAACTCAGCATTGCGAGATATAATCTGAATTCGGAGAAAAAAGTAATAAATGTGAGCTAAAAACTCAGCATTGCGAGATATAATCTCTGAATTCAGAGATTATATCTCGCAATTCTGAGTTTATAGCTCACATTTATTACTTTTTTCTCCGAATTCAGATTATATCTCGCAATCCTGAGTTTATAGCTCACATTTATTACTTTTTTCTCCGAATTCAGAGATTATATCTCGCAATCCTGAGTTTATAGCTCACATTTATTACTTTTTTCTCTGAATTCTTCCGTCATCATTTACTCATCCTCCACTTGTTCCAGACCTGAATGAGGATCTTTCTTCTGTTGAGCACAAAAGACCAAACAGTTTTTGCTTATTTATTGTCTCAGGTCTGCAGTCCTGCACTCCTCCATCGTTCGAGGAAGCGACCACGGCGTCTGTGTCCACAACTCTGTCCTCCAACACCTCCATATCAATCCCAGAACGCTCTCCGTCAGACACCACAGAGCAGCCGCGCTACAGGTCAACATAAATCACCTCGTTTACAGAGATGACTTCATATTCAGTCACGAAATAAGAAGCAACAGTAACACTTCACTTGAAGCCTTTATGTATAATGCATTATAAAGGCATTCATAATGTAACCTATAATGCATTATATATTCTCATAAATAATTGTAACCAAAGTTAAAATGCATTATAATATTTTCAGATTCCTTATTGCTTCTGAAGCTGTTTTACTGCATTATACTGTGCTTTCTAAAGGTGTAACAATGAATAGATAAGTATTATATTATAATTGTAGTAGTAATTATTCATAAGATCATACAATGCAATTATGAGGCATAATTAATGCAGTAAAAATAATATATAAAGGTTTCAACAACATCGACAAGGCTGCTTATTTTCTGACCACCTGGATATGAATATCTTTGAATATATTTTTGTTCTCTTTTGTTTTCACAGAAGACGCACATGGTCTCTGAAAGACGTCGAGGGACGGTGAGCTTCATTGGCATGACTGTATTTTTGTTTACAAACCATATTGAACTGTGACTTTACATGCTCACATCAGCTAGTTTATCAACTCGGTATTTAAATCAAGATATATTAACTATATGACCTAAGATGTTCAGACAATTCATCAAAATTAACTTTTTTTTATTTAATTAAATATTAAATATTAATTTATTAATTAAATTAATAAAATATATCTTTTTTTTTCTTCTGAAAACAAGAAAAAATTGCTGCTAGTGGAGGCAGGAAAATAATCTAGTTTTCCCTTTGAATTAATTTTTTATTTTATTTATTTATTTATTTTGACTCCATTGGCGCCAGTAAATGTCAAGTAAATGTATTTTGATGTGAGAATGTTTAGATATTTGTACTGGAAAACAAGACAAAAATACTGAGTAAGAAGGTCATTTTTTAGTGGGTTTTTCTAGCTGAATGTGCTTGTTTTGGCAGGACACATGAGGTGGTGGATGTGCATGAGGAAGAGCAGCAGACCATCACTGTGCAGGTGGAGGTGAAGAGAGAGAGAGAAGACGAGGAGGAGGAGCCAGACGTCTCTGTGACACAGTACGTGCAAATACTGCCAGAAATCACCACAGTAAACATGCATATGAATCTCATACCAGCAGCACTCAGTTTCTGATACAGTATTTTCATCATGTTTTCAGTTATTTGTTTGAGAACTAAGTCAATGGTTTGTTTTCCTAGCGAATGCACGAAAAGATGTATATCTTGAATGCAATATACTGTTAGTTGGTTTGGATAAAAGCATATGCCATATGCATATATGTGAAGCCTACACTAAATACTGTGTATTTTTCATTTATTTTTATTTTAGTACTTCTATTCAAATGTTTTATTTCAGTTAGCTGCCAAGGCAACATTTCAAGCTTTTTAACTATAAAAAATAACTTTTTGATATTTTATTTCAGCTTGATTTTAGTTAATGTAAACCGTTTGAATAGTTTTAGTTGTAGCTAACAACAACACAGGTGAATAAAATGGATGCAATCTTAAAGCAATGGAAACATCTATGGTGAAAATGATTAGTTATGCTAAAAAAAATATCATAATATAATATAAAAAAAAAAAACCTACATTTAATTTTTTAATTAAACGTTTAACAAACATTAAACACAAATTACACTACATTTTTAATTTAAGTTTTTTAACTTATCAAATATTATCTAATATTTCTATAATATTTTATTTCAGCTTTATTTCAGTTAGCAAAAATAATATAATATTTCTGTATATTTAATTTATGTATTCGAATTGCATGTAATATTTGGATTTGGATTACACCGTTTTAACCTAAACTAATAAACTTAATGTGATGCATATTTTTTAGTAAAGCATAGAGGAAACAGATAAGAAACGGGTCAGATTTCTGTAATAGTACTAATAAACCAAATGTGTTTTAAATACAATTGAATTCAGTTGAATTCTAAGCTATTTTGAAAATGTGCTTATTTAATTAAAATGAAATAGAAACAAATAGCCAATAATAAACTATGCCATGGTTTTTTTGTTTTTGTTTTTTTGAAGAGATACTAACTGCATCATCCATATGCATCAGATTAATTTAGTTTGTTAAAACTGTGTAATCCAAATGGATGGAAATTTTAGATACAATTCAAATATATAAGTCCTAAATGTAGACCTAAATATTTTATTGAGTGTGATGGCGATCACCCTGCTGAGATTGATTATGGGATAATGACCAGCTGTACATTATCCCTGACCAAACAGCTCTCAGACTTAATCCTGATTCACATAATATTTCTACACAGTATCTGAGATTATGATTAGTGCATCCCGAATAACTCTGCCAGAGGACTGTCTGCTGTTTCTGCTGGATTTATGAAATATGCATCCGTTTTCTGGCCTATTGTTGAAGCGGTGGATCTGTGAGATCCAGGTGTAGACTTTGGCCATATGTGACCCTGGAGTCTTAAGTGTCAATTTTTCAAAATTGAGATTTATACATCATCTGAAAGATGAATAAATAAGCTTTCCATTGATGTATGGTTTGTTAGGAAGACAATATTTGGTCGGGATACAACTATTTGAAAATCTGGAATCTGAGGGTGCAAAAAAAATCTAAATATTGAGAAAATCATCTTTAAAGTTGTCCAAATGAAGTCCTTAGCAATGCATATTACTAATCAAAAATTAAGTTTTGATATATTTACGGTAGGAAATTTACAAAATATCTTCATGGAACATGATCTTTACTTAATATTCTAATGATTTTTGGCATAAAAGAAAAATCTATAATTGTGACCCATACAATGTATTGTTGGCTATTGCTACAAATATACCCCAGCGACTTAACACTGCTTTTGTGCTCCAGGGTCACATACGGTCCGGAGAGCTTTACTGCAGACCCTCTGTTTCTGCTTTACTCCTCACGTCAAACACTCAAAGCCTCGCTCTCAGCACTTCTGTCACTTTGAATTCTTTATGGAAAGTGTCTGTCAGGCTAAATAAGGAGTCAGTGATACGGTGCAAACATCAAAAGCTAGATCTTTACATTTACTGTCTCTTTTAAACTGTGAGTGATGTGAGCCTTGCAGAACTGGTTGCTAGGAAGTTTTGAGTGGTTGCTAGGTGGTCACTTACGGCCTCAAGTAAGAGCCTGATCCCAGATCAGTGTTTTAGTTTGTTGGTGATTTAATGCAGGGATTCAGCCAAAACCTTTCTGAGCTAAAATATCTACTTGAAATCCTCCCTAGAGGACAACAACACATTCACATGATCCTGCTTCTCTGATTTGTGTGTACACAAATAAAATATTTAATCTTTTTTAAAAATACGGTAATAGATTAATTTTCATTTGTTTTTGTTATAAAATTATGTATTTATTTTAGTATTTACATTTATCCCTCTTATCATATTGATATTTTATTATAAATAAATAGGAATATTAAAAATAAAATATTAATATTTTACATTTAATATATTAATATTTTAATTAATTATTACCAATAATTATTTTACATGTGTCCTTCTTATTATAGCTATATAATATATTATAAACATTATATTATTATTCTAAATAGAATATTTATATTTAATAAATTAATTAATAACTCATAATTATTTTACATTTATCCCTTTTATTATATTTATAATATATAAGTAATATAATAATAATATTATTATTATTATTATTAATATTTATATTTGACAATTTAATTAATTATTAGCTAATAATTGACATTTATACCTATTATTATATTTATATTATATACTATAAATAATAATATATTATTATTATAAATTATATATATTTTTTAATTTTGTATTCATTTGATAACTACCTAATTAATGTTTGAATTTAATGTAATTAATTTAATTAATAACTGATCATTATTTTACAATTATCCCTGTTATTACATGTATATTATATATCATTATTATTATTCTAAATAAACTATTTATATTTAACATTTTTAATTAAATTAATTAATTATAAGCGAATGATTATTTAAGATTTCACCCCTATTATAAAAAGATTTGAGTCTTAATAATTGTTGTCCATATCTTTTTTTTTAGCTCGGTGACGGACGTTCCTCCTCCAGACATTGATGACCTCGTCTCAAAAACAGCACCCGTTGCCAAGGAAACCGTCTCCCAGACAACACTTCCTGGTGACACCCAGACGACACTTCCTGTGGAAACAGCTCCTCTGACAGAAAGCGGGGCCCTAGAGTCAGCTCCGGCCCCTGAAGCAGCCTTCAGCCCAAACACACAGCGTCTCTCAGAGTCCCAGAGCCGCGGATCTCTGGAGGAAGAGCTCGCCTCAACCACTGACATCTACTTTGTGAGTATGAGCACCATCGTAGGACCTTACAGTCACAGACAAACGCAGCGTCTGGGTTTGAGCCATTACTGCTGTGATGTTTCAGAACTTCATCAGGAGTTGTTTTGGTGGCGGTCTGATTTACAGCAGCGTAATGCTGTCATATTAGCATAAGTTCATGTTGAGTTTATGAAGTGTTACATACAGGGTTCCCACAGTTACAAAGACAAATATGAATATAAACTTGTGAAAATGTGAACAACAGTGTTATTTTTGTATTGTTTATATATTTTATTATTATTATTTTATATGTTTTTAACATTTTATATGTATCATTATAATATTTTGTATATATAGTTTTAGTTTTATTCCATGTGTTTTTGTCATTAATTATTTTTTACACATTTTATATTTTTTTACAATATTGTTTTTACTTAGATTTACATTTACATTTAGATTTAATTTTAAATTTGAATTTTAGTTTGAGTCATATTTGTACTTCTTTCTAAACCTCTTTCAGTTCGTTTCCGAGGCAACATTTCTCATTTTAATTTTTTAAGTTTTTCATCTAATATTTATATTATATTTTATTTAATAATAATAATTAATAGTTGTAGTTTTAGCTAATAACAACACAGCTGAATAAAATGGATACAGTTTTAAAGCAATGGAAATATATATGATGAAAATTACTAGTTATGCCCAAAATATATAATAATATATCATAATAATATAATAATAAATATTATGCATCCTGCTTTTAGTGAGTCTAAAAAGACTTGAACAAAAATTAGGCAACAAGCTTTAAAAAACATTAAAAAAGTTCTAAAAAAATTTTTGTTATTTAATTTAATTTAATTTTTTTCATTTTTAAATTTGTAAAAACTTAAAACAAAATTAGGCAACGTTTTTAATTTAGTGTAAATTTTATTACTTACTAAATATTATCTATTTTCTATTATATTTTATTTCAGCTTTATTTCAGTTATCAACATTGATTTGAATAGTTTTACTTTTAATTGATATTAGCAAGACTGGTAGATTTGGTATGTACTGGAGAAAATTTGGTATGTACTGCACCTGATATACAGTATATCCAAAATGATTGATATTGAATCGAATCAAATCAAATCGCTAGCTTGTGAATGAGAATCGAATCGATTTTCGAAATTTGTTTCAAATCCCAGCCCTACTGTTAATACAGTATATTTTAAACACACTTATACATGCAGCACTCAAATACAGTATGTAAACTCATTTTCATTTCACTAAAACAAAATGCCACAAATCACCTGATTTGGTGACTTCATGTGGTGTGGAGCTAAATATGAATCATGTTCCACAGAGCGCCAGTCTGAATGATCTAGTGGAGTGTGAGTGAGTGTGTGAGTGAGTGAGTGAGTGTGTGAGTGAGTGAGAGTGAGTGTGTGAGAGTGAGTGTGTGAGAGTGAGTGTGTGAATGTGTGAGTGTGTGAGAATGTGTGAGTGAGTGAGTGTGTGAGTGAGTGAGTGAGTGTGTGAGTGAGTGTGTGAGTGAGTGTGTGAGTGAGTGTGTGAGTGTGTGAGTGAGTGTGAGTGAGTGAGTGTGAGTGAGTGTGAGTGAGTGTGTGAGTGAGTGAGTGAGTGAGTGTGAGTGAGTGAGTGAGTGAGTGAGTGTGTGTGAGTGAGTGTGAGAGTGTGAGAGTGTGAGTGAGTGAGAGAGTGTGTGAGTGTGAGAGTGAGTGAGTGAGTGTGAGAGTGAGTGAGTGAGTGTGTGAGTGAGTGAGAGTGAGTGTGTGAGAGTGAGTGTGTGAGAGTGAGTGTGTGAATGTGTGAGTGTGTGAGAATGTGTGAGTGTGTGAATGTGTGAGTGAGTGAGTGAGTGAGTGTGTGAGAGTGAGTGTGTGAATGTGTGAGTGTGTGAGTGTGAGTGTGAGAATGTGTGAGTGAGTGTGAGTGAGTGTGTGAGTGTGAGTGAGAGTGAGTGAGTGAGTGAGTGTGAGTGAGTGAGTGAGTGAGTGTGAGTGTGAGTGAGTGAGTGTGTGAATGTGTGAGTGTGTGAGTGTGAGTGTGAGAATGTGTGAGTGTGAGTGTGAGTGAGTGTGTGAGTGTGAGAGTGTGAGTGTGTGAGTGTGAGTGTGAGTGTGTGAGAGTGAGTGTGTGAATGTGTGAATGTGTGAGTGTGAGTGAGTGTGAGTCAGTGTGAGTCAGTGTGAGTGAGTGTGTGAGTGTGTGTGTGCGTTTTTGTGACAAATGAGGACATAAATTTGTATAATGACAAAGGTATGACAGGTATTACAAGGAGAAGGTGACTTTTCAGGACATTACCCCATGTCCCCACTTTTCAAAACGCTTATAAATCACACAGAATGGAGTGTATTGAAAATCTGAAATAGCACAAAGTCTCCTGTGAGGGGTAGGTTTAGGGGTAGGGTTGGTGTAGGGCAATAGAATATACGGTCTGTACAGTATAAAAACCATTACGCCTATGGAGAGTCCCCCCTTTTCACAAAAACAAACCTGTGTGTGAGTGTGAGTGTGAGTGTGAGAGAGTGTGAGAGAGTGTGAGAGAGGGTGAGAGTGTGTGTGTGTGTGAGTGTGAGTGTGAGAGAGTGTGAGAGAGGGTGAGAGTGTGTGTGTGTGTGAGTGTGAGTGTGAGAGAGTGTGAGAGAGGGTGAGAGTGTGTGTGTGTGTGAGTGTGAGTGTGAGAGAGTGTGTGTGTGAGAGAGTGTGTGTGTGTGAGTGTGTGAGTGTGTGTGTGTGTGTGTGTGTGTGTGAGAGTGAGAGTGAGAGTGTGTGTGAGTGTGAGTGTGTGTCTCTGAGTGTCACAGTCTCTCTCTTCTTCATCATGGAGTCTTTAAAGCTTTCAGGTGAAGCTCTTCTAAACTGATATTCTGATCGAAGGTCCTGAAGTTAACTCAGACTGTGTCCAAACCGCATGTTCTGACAGATTTCCAGCTGCTCAGTGTGACCTGACTTTGTCTCATCAGGCCGGTTTGGACACGGTGACCATGTTTTTAAAAATGTTTTTGTGTCATGTGGATTTTAGCATGAGACACAGAATGTGTCAGTCCTGATGTGTGTGTGTGTGTGTGTGTGTCAGTACGCTGAGGGCAGATATTGGGTTTACTCTCCAGTGCTCAGCTCCTGCAGTGTCGTAAGTCAACAGATCTGAACACCTGAGTGCAGGACGTCCCAACCACCATAATATTACATTATAAAGACTATATTTGAATTTCATTTGACATTGTCATTTCTATTACAGTCTCACAAACTCTCGGTTGGGAAATCCTGCTGCAGGCTGTAGTTTTAGGGTTTTATTAGAGGTCTTACAATCCAGTAGCTCACCTTCATGTGTAGGTTTTCACCTCCTGATGGACAAACTCATGATTCCTGATAATACTTTTCACATTGCATTCGTAGTATGGAAACCTAGCCTCTGCTAACTCAGCTTTATTAAAAGAGTATGTAAAACAGTGTGCAGTACGTTTCATGTAGTAGTGTGCTATGCTGTGGTCACATGACCTCTCCACGTGTCCGGTTATCATAACAGAAACAAATACAATCATTAATCAAATTTAGTGTAAAATCATCTTAAACTTTTTGCAGCCCAATCAGATAGTGAGTCAAAAAGGAGATGATAAATATCAAAATTATTATTACTTCAGGTTCATCCATCAAACTGGAAATAGTATAATTGAGATCAGGGTTGTTATAGTTAACTAAAACCATTAAAATAATGTTAAAAAGATGTTCAAAAACTTTAATTTACTGTGAAAATAATTAGTTTTATTTCAGCTAGTTGCCAAGGAAACATTGATTTAATTTAACTTGATGTACTAAAATATCTAGAAGTAAAACTGTAATAAAAATGAGTAAAAAACTATATAGACATGAAACAACAACTAGTAAAAATGAACAAAATGAACAACAAAATGACAAAAACTTTTACAAAATTACCAAAGCAAACAATAAAATGAAAACAAAAACATGAAAATATAAAAACTACTTCAAACTATTAATAAAAATTAGAATATTATTTCAATGATACTAAAAGAACACTGATGGAGATACTGTAATAGATTTCATTAATATGAATTGGAATTAGTTTAGTTTTTTTAAGTTTTAGTCATTTTGTTGTTTTTTATCTTTTGTTAAATTTTGTTACAAAGTAATACAAAATTATATAAACGTTAAATGTTTATATAGTTTTTATTACTTTTATTTTTATATTAATGTTTTTTATTATTTATATATTATATATTTTTATCTTATTTTACTTTACTTTTTTCCTTTGTTTTTCCTTTAGTTATTTTAGAACATCAATTGCTTTAGCAACTAGCTGAAATTGATTTTTTTCTTTGTTTTTAGTTTGTTAACAACAATAGCAAATAAATAAGTTTCATTATGTGTTAGAGTGTTGGAAAATCCATAAACTGCATACATACTGAAAATGTGCATACTGTGCACTGCATACGTATAGCATGCAGCCAAACTAGTATGAGTATGATAGTGTGTGTTTGGAGGCACATTCACTGTGATCTGTCGTTTTATTCTTCCACTAAATGTTGAATGTTTCTAGTCACCTCATGCGTTTGCTCTTTCTGTTTCTGTGTGTTTGTGCTTCATGCGTCTGCGTGGCTCCGTCTCTCTGTGTGTGTGTGTGTGTGTGTGTGTGTGTGTGTGTGTGTGTGTGTGTGTGTGTGTGTGTGTGTGTGTGTGTGTGTGTGTGTGTGTGTGTGGGGCCCGCTGTGGTGGGGGGGGGGGGTTGGTGCAGACTG